ATATTTAGCAAGCACGAAGCGTGGGTGCCCAGAGTTTGTCCTCAAAGACTTTTCATTTTTTTGTGAATTCGAAGAAATTCTAAGGGACGCACCCAACTGCGGGGTAATTGGGCTACAAAGTTTCTGCTCATAGAATTCCCAATTCCCTATTGGAATCACTCTTGAATGTGCTGTACGGTGCTGGTGAATGCTGGTATGCTGCAGAAGGTCACTGCGCGACGTCGCACACACTCCATGTGCCCAGCAATTCTCCGAGCAACACTCACTTAACTCTTTGACCGTCATCCGTGCGAGTTTTCACCGAGTGTGTGTCCTTATCCCCTCCAACGTTGAAGCCCGAGTCACTTGCCGCGTGCGCGGCGCAATCAAAAGTGTGCGACGTCGCGTGATGACCTTTAGCTACACAACTGGGGCGGTATTCAATCCTTCCCCCAGGGGATATATCCCCCTCCTCTGATTCAATCCTCTGGGGGGACAAAAAAGGGTTGCGTCATAGGACCTAGCATACCTCTGTGTTTCTACCTGCCAGACAGTTAGAGCAGCGCGACTACCCTCCACTGATGAAGCACTCTTTCCCCTGAGGGGTCGCGCTGCTCTAACTGTCTGGCAGGTAGAAACACAGAGGTATGCTAGGTCCTATGACGCAACCCTTTTTTGTCCCCCCAGAGGATTGAATCAGAGGAGGGGGATATATCCCCCTGGGGGAAGGATTGAATACCGCCCCTCCTAGCTGCAGTCTATGATTACCAAAATACCCTCTATTGGAGCGTTGTGTGCAGACCGCACACTACTAGTGACTACAAAAATGACTTTCACTTCTTTTTGAGCCGTCTTCGTCGTCACTTGTAGTGTGTGGTCTGCACTCGACGCTCTTCCCGTTTTCCGAAATATAGGGTAGCTCTTCAACATTGTTAAACTATAGACACCATAGAATAGACTCCAACTTTCAGAAATCTCACGAGGTTGGGGAATGATTGGAAAATTTTGGAACGCCGTCTCGAGACCGTTTACTAAAACACTGTCACAAGGAGCTGCTACTACCGTCTATTGCGCCGCTTCTCCAGAAATATTGATGTGAGTAAGTGTGAGTTAAAAAATCAATAGCACCACTTATTGTTTCGAGGATAGGACAGAGTGACCAATTCTGCCCACAAATCAAGGAAAAAAATTTAGTCTTTTGAAACCTCAAATATTGAACGCTTCAGGTCAGCGGCAAGTACTGGGAAATCATGTTGGGACGATGAGAAGAACCTGGCCGTCCAATTGGCGCGGGATGAACATCTTCAAAATGCACTCTGGGAAAAGACCGACAAGATATTAGACAAATGTTCCGAAGCGAAGCGAAGCCAATAAGGGTTGTGAGCTGATGCCATGAAGAAATGTAATGATCTCGATTACAGTTCAAAGGTATTTAGGCATACAATCGATTTGTGAGAAACTTTCATTAGAAACATGCCTATTATTTCGGTGCGGTCAAGAGAGGTCTACATTGCGTGCGGTGGTGCCGCTGAACCGTCGCAACATGTAGCGTGCGTGCAACATGTGCACCACAGGCAACAGAATGAGGAAACATCTTGCCGTCACGCATGGAGCTGTAGTAGCCGTGCGACACTCAACGTGGACCTGTTGACCGACACCTGTGTATATGATGTGCTACCTCTATTGAAAGTTTGTATTCCATTTATTTTTGCGCTGTTTTAAACGTGTCACAAGTAAATTACTGCCGTCAAGAACCAAAACATGACCCATGTCCGCAATATATGCCAATAGAACGAGCGAAACCGCAATATGCACCGCGCTTGATTGCGCCATGCACATTGCGACGCAGCAATTTTGCATACGTTGATGTTCCTTGGTGGACTTGAGGTCATCATAGCGTCGAGATCGACGTTGTAATGTCCTCAAGTCATTTAAATAGATGTCGCCTATATCCAGATTTTGTTCACTGTCCGTATGTAGGTCAGGTAGCACGAATTGCGGCGTCGCGCGCAACCAACACACTGCAGGATCTTTCAGCACGCCGTCTGGTGAGCTAGTTTCACACATCGTTGCGGGCCTCATGTCCTGACCCTTTTCCACTAGACGCCTTTTTCCTTGTATGACACAACTGCAAGCTAAGCCAACTATTGAAGTGTTAATTTTGAAAATGAGCTGCATCTTCTTCAAAGGCTAACGTTACCTTATTTTCAACTGTATTTTGTATGTTCTACTTCGCTTTCATCTGACCTCCATTCTTCTTCTCATCTCCGTTGGTAGAAACCTCTTTTCTTTCACTTCTATTTGTAGCTTGTATCAATTGTTACTGCGTTTCGTTGCCAAGATTATACCTCTGCTTCTTGCCCGCCTGACTGCAAAGACGCAGCGCCTCCAAGGCCCATTCCGGGACTGATTCGTTTGGGTGAGAACGTCGAAAATAAAAGTAGATATGGTATGCTGGGTCGCTCAGTTACAAAAGAGAGCAGACAAAAATGTTAAGAACCTTAAAATTCATGTTGCGCTTGGACAGTGGTCAGCTTCAGTTCCTTATCGAACTTTACTAGATCAAGAGCTCTTTTTCATGACCAGTCGACCCAGAACATCCCATTTACTGTCATTTTCGGACGAGAAACCTAACCCAAGCCTACCCAATCGGAATGTGCTTGAAAGCATATCAGATGTGGCTGTACGGAATAGTGCTGTCGAGTGCACGTTTCCAACAGCTCATATCTACAAAGTGCCTACAACATTTGTGCTTGTGTGTTAGCGCTGTCTACCGTGCAATGAGCGAAATGTAGCACCCTTCGGAATACCCCAATTTAAAGCAATGCTGCACGCGGGGTGTGGGTCGTAAGGACAGAAAGCGTTTCTTAGCTCTTAGAAACGCTGAATTTTCTTTTCGCTGAGAGAACCCAAGGCCACTTATGCCCTAGGGTTTTGGGATTCCTGTAGCGAATATGCTTCGCGCTGCGAAGAGCGAAAAAGTCGTTTTCTGCCCTGGTGACCCACACTTGACGTGCTGCTGCTTGTGTGATATGAAGCAGTAGTGCTCAAAACCTAAGTGCGGTGCTTGCGACCTTATTGCGGTCATACTTTGGATCGTCTTGCCATCGCATGATCGATGCGTATCTACTCCAAACTTGAACTGTAATCGGAAAGTATGACCACACCCTAAACGTATCTTTCAGTCACTCTCATGATGTTAACCAACAATATTACCGATCAAGAATATGCTCCAACATTTCTGTATTTCTTTCCAATATTTCAATATGTACTTTAAATCTGCTTATATTCACCTGAGAGAATTTTTTTTGCAATTTCTATGCTTTGTAAATGACCATTTATTCGAATTAATAAATATTACGATATGCTTTCGCCGCGTGGAACATGCGCTCTAAATGACATGTTAGATGTTGAATTTATTAACAAGCACAACAACTTTAACACCTAGGAATGTTGGCCTATATGAATAAATCAGAGGAAGCAATTTGATCACAATAGTTTCACATGAACGATGCCCACGGTGGGATTATTGGCTGAGGATTCTGTAGATAACTCATGACGACAGCCGACACTGATAACCTGAACCATACTTCTTCTAAAAGCTCTAGGCACAGAATGAGGAAATCGCACCGTTCACTGGCGCCTGAGCCCTTGGGACCTTCTCCCTTAAAGGAATCTTGCGCGGAAAAATCATGATTCTATTTCAGCCATAAATCACTGGCTTGAGACTCATTATCCACGATAATAGTGAAAAGAACTGAAGTATTGCTTTCGTTTTGATTAGAAATTCGAAAACTCGAAAAGGCTGCTACGCGTTCGAATTGCCCACGGACGTCTTTCACGAATGCTGGCGACGGGGATGCTCAAACTTGGTTCTTGGAGTGCATTCACTAGAAGCTCTTTCTGGCCTTCTGCTTCGTTGCATTCACATCTTACACTTCTACTCCATCCTATTCCATCGATCGATTTGTCTCCACTCTCCGAAATCGCGCGCTTTAACCCGATTCTCTCATTGCGTCGCCTGGTACGTAGCCGGCCAAACGCCGTCTTCTTTCCATGCCTCGCCTGGCTCTGCCTCCTGGTCCTTCGATGGTCCATAACGTGTAGTTTTTGTACGTTTGTTTCTCTTCAGAAACCGAATCTTCATGCGTGAAACTTTGTGTGCTATTTCCAGTGATCACAACTGACATATTCATGTTAGGAAAGAGTGCAAGAATTTTCCGCGCAAGATTCCTTTAATAGCGAACGAAGTGACCTGTTGATAGGTACTCACAGGTTGGTTTTCGTTCGCTGGTATCGTCTATTTTGTATTATTTTGCGTTAGAACTCAGCAAGATTAGGCGCTTTACCGGGTGAGCTACAGAGCTAGGACTTCGAACCAGTTTCAGGTCCTGAAGACGACGAATTGTCGAAACGTTGACCAATAAACGTGTTCCACCATAACAACCTGTATGGCACAGAAGAAACAACACAAGCTCCCCTAAAAAACCCCAAATCCCCTAGAAACTCCGAAACTTTCACCAAGCAAGGTTTACTACAGCTCTCTCTAAAATACGCTGCCGATCTCACTCAATTTGCCCAACTCTATCCATCAGAAAATCAAATATGACCCACTTTTATGAAATCCCCGACGTTGGGTTATCCTGCCCATGAGGAACAAAGGGGGTGGTGGTACTGTTTCTAGCGACTAAGGGGAATAAATATGCCTATGGCACTTCGTGAACTGCGAATCCCAAGGCGGCAATGCTGGTTTTTTTTATTGTGGAAAAAGCGTATTTGGGCATCAGTTTAATCCTCTTTTCTAAGATGAGATGGAATCATATTTGTGGTAACATAACTCTAAAAAAGTGAACTCACATGAAACTGCTAACAATTTGTTTTGCATCGTCTGATGAACGTGTATTGGCGAAACTAACACAGGAACATAATAGAGCCATCCAAGCACACCATTTCATCTGAAAATCAAATCTGATTTGTATGACCGGTTTGATGGCATTACAAGTAATGCGATAATGATGAGACATTGTCAGTGAAACCGCACCACCTTGTTTTACTGTGTGAAGCTTTGCGCTACGCCTAGCAGGATGGCAGAACAAGGCTGCCTTCTAACCAAAAAAAACTACAATGAACAACTACCAATGATGTCGTCAGGGGATAAGTTAATATTTGGAGGACCCATGTATCAGTGCCAAGGATCTGCTCTAGACCAGAAACCCCCAACATTTTATGGGCTGGGTTGGCCCACATTAATTCTGCTTGAGTGGTAAAAACACTTTCTTCAGGCTTAGCTCACAAAAATAGTAAACTCAAACGCTTGGCACACTTCGAATGAAGTAATCAGATTTATTCCAATAAAAATGGGGTTGAAAGTAGGAACTAAAGCAGTAGCTGGGGCGCATCTTCCATAGAAATGCTATTCGAATAAAAGCCTGAGCTAATATACCAAGGATACATACCCGCATCATCAAGCCACACATGCTGAATATCATTCCTAAAACATTCATGTACTCTGGCAAAGGATCGTCAGTGACAGCATTGGATGACTGAGGATCTGCTGCTTTGTACCTGAACACCGAAGAGCGATTGAAGAAGACGTGAGCAGACAAGAAAAAGTCCTAAACACG